TCTGTGTCAGTCATATCATTACACAAGAAATGTATTTCAAATGCTATGTTGTGGTGTATCTTGTGTACAAAACACACTTTGTATACACACAAAACTTCTTTGAGTCCTTTTTCCCTTACCCTTGTGCTTTATTAAGATTGGCCTTACTTCCTCTTTGTGCAGGGTCCCACTGACCCCACTGTTGCATATCTCAAAATAATAGTAATAACTAGAAAATTTCCCCATATTTCAAGAAATTTTAATTGGGTGCCTGAAAAGCATCATTAAATGTAAACTGTGATTCTGTCAAAACCATACAAGTTATCATAATGCCCAGCAGGCCTACAGTCCCAAGTCTCATGAGCCATTTAAGCTTTTAATCAGTTTCTATGTCAAAGTATGGTGATCTCTTATGCCCCCAAAGTGGAGTGGTTTTGAGCTCTGTTCACATCCATTTCTCATTGTTTTCTATGGGAAAATTGACACCAGCGTTTTGCAGTTTTCCTGCAAATGGCTTGTCGAATCTTTGAGGAAAGTCACAGCACACCATTCCCAATCATTCTTTATGTTTTGATTTTTTTTTTTTTTTTTTAACGACTGTTTACAAGTAACATAAGTAGCATGCCAAAGAATTACCATTAAGGACTAAAAAATATTAAGAAATAATCCAGACGAATTTTGCACATCAGGCATCTTAAATATTATTGTCTTTATTACTATTATTATTATTATTAGTAGTAGCAGTAGTAGTATTGTTATTATTATTATTATTATTATTAATAACAATAGCAAAAACAATGAAAAGTTTTACTTTAAATATTTTTGTTGGGGGGATGTATTTAGTTTTATTCTAAGAAATAGAGAAATTAATCACCATATTGATTTTGTTAGAGTGATGTTACCTGTGTTTGGGGTCAGTTACCCCTAACCAGTCAGCCCCCGTTTTAGACCTCTGGATGAACAAACTGTCTTTAAACTCCAATCCAACATAAGACAAGGAGATTTATTTGAGATTAGGGAGGTTATTGCTGTAAACACTGATCCCAGATATTGACAGCATATATAGCATGTCTCAGCTGGTGCAAAAGTACAGGTATGAAGAAGATCTTAAGTTTAGTATGTAGGAAAAAAACTGTCATTACTACTTGTAAAGCAGTGTTGGTGAAAATGAAGCTGTACAAGGTGTCCAACAGTCTTGATAGATCCTTAAGAACCTCAATATACTTCATATAGAGAATGGATGTCTTTTTAAGTGAAATGTCATCGATTTATCTTAAGCCCCTTTTACACTGCCAGATTTTCGGCGAATATTGGGCCATTTTGCAGGCAAGCTGCAAGTGTTTATACACACAGAGCCGGATAGGCGAGTTAATCCGAGGTGCCCAATTTTCTTCGCTGCACTCCCCGATTTTGTTTTTATACAGCCAATGCTGAAAGAAGACTTATTGGGCTTTCCTGCAAATTTGCCCAATTCCTATTTAAAAAGTGCTTTAGTAACCTATCTCAATCCGACCATCTATCCAACATGGGGTAAACTAGGAACAAGAACAACAAAACAACACATGATATAATTAACAAAATTATTACATTTCTGGAGTCCTTTGTGGGCATTTGAACAAAAAATCTGACTTAATACTGGAGCCAATATGCCGTTTTTTATTTTTCAGAGCATACTACCAGCTAAACATACGAAGTAGGCTATAGATGTCAAAGATGAAACCTTGCCACAATCGCTCAAAGCACTGGTAGCAATCCCTGTTCACAAAGCAGCTCCTCTGAACAGTACACACACTAGCATATACACACCGAAAGCACAGAGTGAGTGCATGTTGGCAAGCAAAACTCTGGAAATATCCAATAAGTTTGGAGGGGGGAAAGCAAAAATACCGGTTAAGCAGTCAGAATTCTAATTGCATCAAATCAGATGTAAAATAGGTGGAAAAATATAAAAATAATTTCACTGAAAATAATTCTAATTATTATTTTCTGTGAGTGTTGGTTGTGTTGCATTTACAGGGAAAAGGTGCTATTATTTTGGGACACCAACCCTTACTTGAATTACAATACAAGATACTTATATATGCCTGTTACTGTAACAAAATATGCTTTTGCAGACTGAATAGGATTTCAGTTTTTTATTAAATTAAAATACTTTAAACAAACTTCAGATGGACAGTTTTCAGCGTCACACACTTAAGAAGTTATCAAGGATTTTGGTGGGTGTTACTGTTTGTGTTAGGTTTACTTTACCCTCACACTCAAACTCACTACAAGCATTCTATACATTTTTTCTCTCCGGAGAGGATAGCTTGCTCCCTTTGAATACCCACTCCCTGCCCCACAACACAAACAAGATTCAGCACCCCACTGCTAAACCCCTCCCGACTATTGCATCTACTCCTCCACCACTCCTGCTGACCTCCAACTGACACAAATTTCAGTCAGCTTCATGGTGAATATTATGGCTGCCTCTGAAATTTAAAACCCCTCCATCTCACAGCAGTCATATCTGTCACATACAGACGCACATGCATAGTGGATGTCAACAACATAAGGGACAGCCATGGGCAGCGCCCCCTGCAGCCTATAAGGGGTTCTGCACAAACACTTAAAGAACAGAAAGAAGGGACTGAAGCCTGGTGGAAGTTCCCGTTACAGCACAGACCCCTTCCCCCTCATTCACAGGGTACCCAATACCCCCCCCCCCCACACACACACACACACACACACACACAACACACACAACAAAAAATACTTTCAGAGTGTGATGAAAGGGAAAAGATTCAAATTACATGAAACAGGAGCCGCTTATGGGGAAAAGTCATCAAAAACAAGAAAGCTGTTTGCGCTATGTGTTAAACAAAAGGGATGTGAAGCACTGACTGAATGATTTTGTGAATTTGTGGTAACTCAAACATCACACGGAGGAGCGGAGATGTTAGGCGTGAAAATTGGAACACATTTGTGGCATAATTAGCTTATTGCTGGCTGTGTAGGCTATATGAACAGCCATTTTAACAATGAATGAATGAATCCACTCCTGCTGCATCCGCTCCTATACTGAACTACTAGAAGGAATGAAAAAGACCAGTTGTGCTCGTACAGGGCGAGCCGATTACACACGGTGGAGAAAGCTGCAGCCTGCACAGTTGCGCTCCTTTCAGAGCTTCGCCATTTTGCCCCCACTGCCTGACGTTACTCCTCTATGCGTGGACGCACCACGTGTTGTGGAGCCACCGAAGGCCCTAGCTCGCCCATGGTGGCCCCCTTTTCACAAATCACCTTTATCATTATGGTTCTTCAAGGTTATCACAGGGAAGGTGTGGGACACAAACACAGCGCCATCAGAATTATTTTAGCGACCCGCAGGGAGATTAGAAGAAACTACAGCCTGCCTCCTTTCCTTAACATGGCGAGTGACCTGCCTCTGCAGTTTGACAAAAACTGATATTCAGCCTCACAGTGCCAAACGTCGAGCATCTACAGAAAAAACTCACTGCTGGGATTTTTGTGGCACAGCCATGTTGCAACATTTCTTCATGGTTTGCTCTAGTGGCGCAAGGCGCGCGCTCCAAACAAGCTTGGATTGAAACATTTGGCCACATTCATACAAAACCACATGAAGATCGATTAAACAAATTGTTACGATTTATTTAAAGCCAAAACTGATGCAGCAGAATGAAATCTGTAGCTGGCCTTTTTGATCATGAGATCCACACATGTACACGCGTGTGGCCAAATGGTGAAACATGAAGAACTGCGCTCACTGTTCACCTCGTATCTGTGCCAAAGGTTACAGGCATGAATGATGGCCTATAGGCGAATACCATAATACTGTTTAAAGCAGGTCAAGTCTGGCTCTTAGCACAGAGCAGCTGACCTACAATGGACCCCAGTTTATCCTTTGGACCGAGGAAATTCTGAGCTACAGCTTAATTTTTATATTCAAATGCTTTGGAATCAGGATCAAACTAAGCTTTTTATATATGACTATATGTACACCACTATCCTATTTTATTTTCACAGCTAGCAACAACACCAACAAAAACAAAGAACAAAAGAGCTCAAAATAGTAATAAAAATATCAGATTTGTTATCAATAAAAAAAAATCAATAGAAGTGTTTATACATGAAATTCATAAGACCCCATGGAAATAAGAAATTTATTTAAATAATAATAATAACAATAATAATAATTAAATTTTTATTTAAACAATTAGAACTCTGTTAAATCACCGTCAACATTTACATTTTGCATTCTGGGCCTAGAAAAAATAAATCAAGACCATACTTATCAGGCTGCATTTTCACGTGAAGTCGTCATAACGAATTTTATCGGATTTGAAAATCATTTGCAGCCAGAAATGAATATAATCAAAATATTTTCGCGCACGGGAAACCAATTTTGTCGAAATCTATGCGAGTAAATAACATGTCTGCTTTACACAATTAATGCATGAGTTCCAAACTCAAGCGTTTAAAAAAGTTGCTGGACACAGAAAAACCTGCAAGACACTCACGTCCTAATTATTTATTTCCGTGTTTATTCCAAAATCCTAGGCTGTAGTGTAAAAAGGGGAGCTAAATGAAGGGCTGGGCCTGCAGCCTGCTCGGCTAAAGTTCCTGCTTCAGCCTTTGGAATGTGTATTATCTGTACATGCTCACTGGCATCACACACCACTCAACCAACATCATCTTAAAGTGAAGAGAAAAACACAAGCTGAGTCCACAGCACAGCCGGCAGCTGGCTGAAGCTGTCACACACTTCACTTTCACAGCAATGGCCGACAAGTTGAGGCTCCACAGACAACACCAGAAACACAACCGCAAAGCTACTACTGCACCGAATACGAGCTCCACGCGGCTATGGAGTCAAAAAGACACATGGGAGCATTTCAAAGTATCACTTAATGCAAAATGAGCAGTGAAACCGTTGTCCTCAGTAGTGACTTGGAGAGGGTGTGTGTGTGTGTGTGGGGGGTGGGGGGGGGGCGGGTACAGTGCTCAATATTGTTTAGTACCTTTGCTTCTTGGGAACGGAGTGCTCCACCTCAATACGTTTCCCATGAAGTTCCACTTTACCTGAAATACAAATAAAAATAAATAAATACACACTTTGGCTACTTGCTGTGTTTACATGCTGCTGCAGTTCTATAGGGGGTTATGCCCAGGGAACTTTGCTTTGGGTGGAGAGCTAACTTTTTTTAAACTTAACATTTTCAGAGAACTCAGAGGGGAAAAACAAGCTGATGAGAGGCCGAGAGGCGGACTCACTGGTCCCAAGGCCCAAACATCACTCACAAGTGAACTGTGGAGGTAGCCTACGTCACTTGTGTCCCATAATGAGCTACTTGGAGCTTCAGCGTTGCAGAATGACAACCACACGAATATTATTGTTACTGTGTGTCATTCAGAGTCCACATGCTGTATCAAAGGGCTAGGGCTATCCTGGGAATTTTGGTGTGTCATGTAGGCTAGAAGAAGCAAAGGGAGCTGACATGGCGATCTCGCCTCCTCATGTTAACCTTACATAGGCCTATGTAAATCATGAGAAACAGGCCAGGGCTAAATCGAGCTTAAACATGAATGTTGCCGCTCATCGACGATTGTGGATTGATGTTGGTGTAGAGCATATTTTAATAAATACACAGTGGATGAGATTTTGCTATCTTTGTCATAGTGGACTGCCGGCTTAAAGGGGGAGGGGAGGCAGCAATGCTTCGTACTATATCACAGGAGAGTACTCACATCAATGCTAGGCGTGCAAGAAATAAAGATACCATTCACACGCACACATTTGGTTGAAACGCACACGCCACAGTCATCACAGGAATGTAAGTCATAGCATTGGTTATATAGCAATATTGTCAGGTAATGCTTTACGTTCTCTACCGGTCGGGCTTTACGATACAGCTTTACGTTTAGGCTATACTACGTGTGTTCCTCCCCCCGCAAAAGTTGAATGGCTCCCCGGGCGTATAGCTCTCCACGCGCCATTAAACTAGTATCAGTAAAATAATTGTGTGAATTTAATTCTATCTGGCATGTTCACATAGAAGCCTCGGAACTGGACGGAAAGTGAAACTGGGGAACACCGTTGAAGGTGGGCATGCAGCCGGTGCTGTACACCGGCGTCAAGCGTTACCATTCCCTTTTAGAATGAATGAAACTAAAGGTGGAAGGGCGGTTTGGCGGTCAGTAGTCCACCTTAACTTACCAGAAAACGTCTCGATAGCCTTCATAGCCCACTGATCGTCCGGACAATCCACAAACGCATAGCCGGTTTTCATTAGAAACTGTCCGGAGTAGGGGATCTTGTGGTCGTCAAAGGTTTTTCCCAAGTCCTCGGCAGTCACGCTGTCGCCTAGATTCCCAATGTATAGCTTGTGCATGGTGGAAACTGTTTTTCTCAAGTCCAAAAACAACAATAACAAAACAAAGCCCTAAATAACTAAAATTGAAGCCAGCGCAAAAGTTTCACTCCTGAATTTGCTAATAGCGCAACAAGATATTGTCACACTCGCCAACCTGAAAGTGGGAATCGCGCTAGAGGGCAAGAATATCTAAAAAGAAAAAAGAAGATCTTAAAGGAAAACTAATCGAAACACGTGTTAATTCTTAGCAGCAAACTAAAATAAAAAGAAAAGTGAAAAGTGTAAGAAACAGTCGCCAAGGTTGAATTTCGCTGTAAATCCAGCTGAATAAGTGGAGCAGAGAAAGACTTGCAGTCGGCCCCAGCAGGAGAATAAAGCAGCAGCCTACAGCCTCTCTTTCGCTCTGTGGAGGAGGTGGGTTGGACTGGGTGGATTTGGTGATGGGTCTATGGTGGAAGAGTAGGAAAAACTATGGCGGGATCTGGTCGGGGAAAATTGTTTCTCTCTCTCTCTCTCTCTCTCTCTCTCTCTCTCTCTCTCTCTCTCTAGTCTCTATCCATCCCTCTTTCGGCGATCCGCTTGCTGCCGGCAGAGCGGTGACGCCGCCCCTCCACCGACTCAAATTCACATTTTTTTCATTTTTCTTTTTTTTTGTTTGCAAAGAGGAAAACACGTGGTCTATTTGGAGTAGGTTAGGGAGAGTAGGAGGGGGCACCCCCTTCTCATCCTAGGGTATTCACCAGATGAGCGCGTGTGTAGGCGGCATGTATGCGCGTATGGGCACATAAGCAGAGATCCCCGATTCCGTACCGTGCTCGCTCCATTCTGTACTGTACGTGGTCACGGTGCAAGGCAGGTTGTGTGCTGTACTGGAGCTTTTATGCAACACGACGTGGCTTTACATGCGCTTAATGCGCTTCTGTAGGCAATTATGAGGCTCTACAGAAGACAGGACACCGTGATGTCAGCCAGGCTAAGACCGGACAACCTGTTTTATTGCCTTCTCTAAGCTAAGACCCTAACCCCCGGTCTTGATTTGCTGAACGCCTAGGTGGAAAACCCTTCACATTTAAGTAACAAGGCACCGCCTGCTAATTCTGTAGCATAGCACCCCCACCTCTCTGCTGCCCCCACCCTGATGCGTGGTAAAGAAGTTAGTCGTCATGATGTTACATAAATGACCTATGATGAACCTTGGGCTGTTGGAGCGGGGAACAAAAGGCCCAGGGCCCCATTTTGCCTTAGGGGCCGCAAGGGTTCTGCTGCTGGAACCCTGGGAAACCCTCTTCACTTTGATAAATTGTTACGAGAGCCCCGTTAACTGAAACAATGTATTCGATTTAGAGGCGTCCAGTGTCAGAGCAGAGTCCGGTCTGTTGTAAACTGCACGGCCACTCTGCTCTCAAGACACTTTAATAAAAATGGTTGTAGCTACTTGCTCAGAGGGCGTCCACTGCCCACAGCTGCAGCCGCATGCGCCAATCACAATGGCTCATTAGCTTCTATTTCTTCCGGTTTCTTTAGTTTGTCTTTGTGGGGCGCAGAGGAAATGACAGTATGGCGCAGTTGCTGAGCCATAGCGCCACTCACTCACACACACCACACGCCTCTCTCCGTGGACGGAGCTCAAAATGGAGGCAGTCGCCGATGCACAGGCCTGCCTCTCCCATGTACACATACACAGTTTGCGCATGGTGTGTGCCTAAGTCACACTTTACTATTTTAGGATGCATTTGGACAAGTAGCCTATGGAATTGCGTGTTACAGGTTCCTTCCTCTGTGTGAGAGACCATTTAGGCTTTGTAGCCACGCTCGCGCCCGTGTAACGTGCCACTCTCCTTGGTTAAGAGAATGGCTCCTGTGTAGACAATGTTTCCTGTCCCTCAGACTTGTTGTACAGTAACCTTTGGCTCATCATGAATGATATTTACAAACGAGGAAACAACATTTCCGTGCACACTGTTGTGTCCATATTTGGTGCAGTAGATAAACTACTGTCAATAAATATCTTATTCTCAACTGATTTGGTGTCATGATAAAGAAGGCTGCCTTTGGTGTAAGTTATGTTTTTGTTTCGTAATAATTTATCTGATTAGCCTGGAAGCACATGAATATATGTTTGGGACATGTAGTTAAATAAACATATGGTGTAAACAGTTTACCATACCATATGTTCATCTTTGATTAATCTATATTCAACATTTAAACCAAAAGCATGACACATCTTATCCACAGCAATACATTTATTAGATGAAAGAAATTGGAGTGCAGGATAAATAATAGGAACACAGGGTAATGCTGTAATTATATAGGCCTAGTAGTCACAACTTCAGGATGCTTCAATAGAGATTCTTTTCATGGTAAAGCTTTAATATATTTTTGTTAAATAATCAACCAAAAGTCTCATTCAGGGCATCAGGAATTTTGATTCTTGCTCTAAAGTTGCTACAGATTCATTATCCACCTCCAGCCTCCTGTATCTCAGAAAACACATGCCTCATTTTCCCCTTGTGCTGAAATGGCTTGAAGTCACCTTCCCAACCTCCCTTTCTCTATTTCTTTCTCTGAACACACACACACACACACACACACACACACACACTTATTGGTTCTTAGTCACTGATGAGACTGTGACTATATAGGAGTCAAACAAAACTCATAGGATACAACATATTTTAAATGACTGTGAGTGACCCTTTTGAAGTTATGTAGAAAAAAAGATGTTCTTTTTCATAAATGTGAGGTGGCGTTAAGTTTAAGATTTGAAACTTAAACCAGGACTGCTATGTCTGGCTATTAAAGGTTTTAACATATTGTCAGTGGTTTTTTTTTATATTCTACAAAAACTATACATTTCTCACAACTTAAAATGTGTAATGACAGAGGGTTTTTTTTCCCAAACTGTTTGTATAAATGCTATAATAACCAAATGACAATTCGCTATAAAAAGCTACAATATACAGATATCTGTTGATCATAACATTGATTCCATGTGTTTTTCAGTTTTACACAACAGTGACTGTGTTTACAAGGTCTTTAGTATCCCGGTTTTGAGGCTTATCCCGGCTTTGAGCATATCCGGGATATGATGTTTACATGGAACACAGAGAAACCTGGTTATTCATATCCCTGTATACATGATAAATACCAGTAACCCGTTTTCTGATCACTGTGCCCTATCTGCGCAGGCGTGTGTTACGTCTTTTACATCTTTTGTTTACACCAGATTGAGCGGGAAATGTGATATATTTATTATATTTACAAGTAAGACAAAAATGAGACCTCTGTGGCTTCTAGCGGGCTTAGCGTTAGTAAATACTCACGTTGCATTACAGCTATGGCTCATCCACTTCATCTTCAGCAGTGGGAGGAGAGAGTGACAACAAATATTGAATACGTCACCAACTTTGAGGTATTCGGCTGTTACTGCCACCGCACAATACAAGGCAACAGTGGATGAAAAGACGTAGCCGTGACTGGTGGGAGAGGATCGTTCTCATGGAGTTTACAGATTCAGAGTGGAGAGAAAACTTCAGAATGAGTAGGGCATCCTTCAGCCGGCTGTGTGACGTAGGTTGAATGGTTGAACCATTCATGAAACCGGGATAAGGTGTATACATGCTCCAGTATCCCGGCTTCTATCAGAGTACTCCAGGTGGCAAAACCGGGTTTCTTGAAACCGGGAAAAGGGCATAACCCGGTTTCTGAATTCGGGATATGGTGTTTACATGCACAAACACAAAAACGGGATACTTAAAAAATCCAATCAAAACCGGAATACTAAAGACCTTGTAAACACAGTCAATGTTTTGCCAGTAAATATTCAAAGACCACTTACTGAGCCAGTCACCTGAGGTAAATTATCCAGTAAATACAGTAGTCAGTCACTCCTGTTTACATTCAGTGTATTAATTGGCAATTTCTGTACACCTGTCTAACACAAATTTAAATTTATATTTTTATTTTATATTTCATAGATATGTTATATTCTTCCTTTTATTGTAATTTTGTCTTTTACTATTTTCTTTCTTTGATACTTTTTTACTTGTGTTTTGTTTTCCTTATATATATTTAATGAGCATTGTTAGAGGGAGTCTGAGATTCAGCATTGTCACTTAAAACAACTGTTTCTCTGTAACTGTTGTGCATATGACAACAAGTCACTTGAACTTGAAGCCATAGTCCTGAAACACATCTGTAAGAAGTTTGAATGTTTTCTTGAAGTCAGGGACTGAGGAACAAATTCAGCTGCTCTAAGACACCAATGGACATTATTTATGAAAGCCTGAAATATTTGAGAAAGCCTTATAGCAGATGTTATAGGTGAAACTTATGGCACTCTTGTTTGTTCATCCTGATATCTGGAAAATATGTTTCCCATAATGGTAAGTGGAGAATGAAAATTATTATTATTATTATTATTAATAATAATAATAATAATAAAGAAATGTGGAGGTTTCTGACCACAGATGGATTCTCAGAGTCACCATCCATTTCCTGTCGTGAAAGTTTTCATAGTGTCTAATTTGTCACAGGATCAACTCCATATATCAAATCTATGGTGCAGCAGGTTTTACAGTTTCATGGTTTGATGGCTAAAATAATTACAACTAATGTTAAGTTTTTCCTTTGTTCATGGCACTCGGCTTGTGGTGCTCAAAGTGCCAAAAACACATTGAAAAACTCCACAGCAATGTCTCTTTCCAGAAATCATGATGCGGTTATTCAAGATTATCCACAACCTTGTTGAAAGCAGTTTCAGGAACTATTTTCTTTCCACTGAACTATGCCCGCTAACCGTACAACTGCACAGAAGGGAGAGTGTGTCTACTCATGGTTGACACTTGTGCTCGTGACAGGTGAGATGTAAACATTAGTGGTGTCCTTCTCAGCTGAACTGTAATGTAAGCTAGCTCAGTGGTGCTGGGTAAGCTAGCAGTAGATGCATGCTTTCTTGTGCCGTAATATGATTTATCTGTTAAGTAATTAAAATCATCACATGCATGTATTGCAGTAAAAAGTAAAATGTTTACCTCTGAGATGTAGTGGAGTAGACGTAGAAAAAAAAGCATAAAATACACCAGTAAACTACAAATAGGTCAAATTTATTCTTAAGCACAGTATTTGGGTAAATTTACTTTGTTACATTCTTCCTCTAAACACCTTGGAGGAAAATGAGTATGTTTTGCCCTCATGCACTTCCTAAACATTGCCGTCAGTGTGTTTGTGTGTGTGTGTGTGTGTGTGTGTGTTGGCAAAAATATCAGTTAACTGAAACAGATTGATCCTTATTTCCTCAGTATGGATACACCAAATACACCAATACATGCTGTACTTTCTTGCTCTCCTGTACTGTTACTGTTTTCTACAGTCATTCTGCTGTTCTCTGCTTCTAACAAAAAATCCTCAAGATCATGTTATAGCCCTTTAATATGTATCTTTTAAAATAAATTTAATGCCCACTACTTTTTTTCTTGTGATATTGAAATGATATCAA